TCAAGGAATTCACGTTGCTTGGTTCTACAATCGATGCCAACGGAAGCAGCAGTCAGGACATTAGATGACGTGTAGCACTGGGAAAGTCAACTGCGAAGGAACCGTATCAAGTGCTGAGGAGCAAGGATATCTCCTTGAGGACTAAGGTGCACCTGACACAAGCCATGATATTCCCAATCGCCTCGTATGCATGCGAGAGCTGGACAATGAATAAGGAAGACCGAAGAAGAGTTGATGCTTCTGAGTGGTGGTGCTGGCGAAGAATGCTGAAAGTACCATGGACTGCTAAAAGAACTAACAGCTCTGTCCTGGAGGAAGTGCAGCCAGAATGCTCAATGGAAGCAAGAATAGCCAGACTTCGTCTCATCTATTTTGGTCATGTTATAAGAAGGGACCATTCCCTGGAGAAGGATGTCATGCTTGGTAGGGTGAAGGGTCAACGAAAGAGGGGGAGGCCTTCAACGAGATGGATTGACACGGTGGCTGCAATGATGGGCTCAAGTATAGCAGGGATTGTGGGGCTGGTGTGGGATCGGGCAGTGTTTCGTTCTGCTGTGCATGGGGTTGCTATGAGTTGGAAACAACTCGACGGCACTTAACAACAACAAATTAGCTGTACTTTCTGCAAATTGATTTCCCAGTTTTACTTTATGGCATACACTGAAACTTTAGGCAGTACTCCTGGAACTGAATATGGCCAGGAAAGGAGAAATAGCACAAGCCAATCAAACTCTATGAGGCAATTATCTGTCCAACAGGGTTGCCATGGGTCAGAATCGACTTGATGGCAGTGGGTTTTTCTCTCTCTCTAAAAAAGGGGCTCTGATAGTATAGTGGTTAAAGCATTTATAAAATATTCAACTACTAACCAAAAGGTTGGCAGTTTGAACCCACTAGCTGCTCCATAGGAGAAAGCAGCAGTCTGTTTCTGTAAAATTTTACAGCCTCTGAGATCCTATGTGGTAGTTCTACTCTGCCCTAAAGGGTCCCTACGAGTCAGAATCGACTCAATGGCAGTGGGTTTTTTAATTCCTCCTTAAACATCTGGGGACTGAGTCGTTGTTTTTCTCCCCATAGGATCCATCTCTAATAATTCAATATAGGTACCAAATCTGTCAAATTCATAAATATCTTTGAAATCTTCCATCAGTTCCTAAGTGGTGATATGTGTCCTCACCTAAAATCTTATATCAATGTTCTCAAATTAAAGTTAGTCCAATTTCAAGGAAAGTTCGTGCCCAGTCTGGCAAGGAATGGGTAATCTTGTCACTTGGAGATCTGTTCTGGCCAATAGGAAAACTTCTGGGCTTTTCAGAGAAAGTAAGAATCAGAGTGTTTTAAAGGATTTATTTGATTTCTCCACATGATCACAGCTATGGTTTTACATCAATAGAGCCCGTTACTACTCACAAACAGAATGCATATTAAAACAAAAGCACTTCTTTCCTCCCCAAAGTTACATAGTGGGTGCAGGGCTTCTTTTGAGTAAGATGTCTCTCGAAGTCTTTTGAGTAGTCTGCATTCAAGACCTGATTCTAATAGTTTAAACCAACTCAAAGGTGAATGACAGTTGCTACAAGGAGACAGTTACGATATGCTGCCCCAATGTGATTGCAGACAGAGCAGTTACATTAGTGTGCACACTATGTACAAGCTGAGAAAGGTGTTCAGTCCTCCTGTTTGTCCCATTTTCACCATCCCCATGTCACTCTAATTTTGAAATGTTTCCTTGATTACTGTTATTAAAAACTTACAAAATTATTCATTGTTCAGGCAGGAAGGGTGATGATATTTTACAACGAAAACTGTAAGATGCATGCTTACCTGTAGACACAGTTTCATAGGGAATGCTGAGTCAACACCGAGAGTCATTAAATATCTTCTGTCTTTTCAGTTCATTTTAAGGAAAAGCAAGAGGCTTCTGCTACATGCAGTGCGTGATGGGAAAAATCACTCTACACTGGATGACTAAAGACATTTTTAAGCAAGATGTGCACATCATATTAGGATGAACTTTATTTTTACATTGTTGTACAATTCATTCATAAACTTAAAAAAAAATACAAATACATGATTTAATTGTTGTCCCAGAAAAGATCATGATGTTACCAGCTTCTTCCTCTAAGGGTCTCCTACTCCTGTCAGAAATCATTATATAACTGAAATAATTTGTGCAACTTGAGAAAAATGGTCCAATGGTCCAAGTGTGTCCTGACAGTAAGAAAGGGTGACTCAAATATCCCTGTGGCCCTCAGCCTCCTTCATATTCCTGTGCAGGAGAGTGGATGACAAGGGAAGTGACTGTTTGGGATCTATAGGGTACAACCCCATGAAAGCCACATGGGGGATGGCAGTCTATTAGAAGCTTTTGCTTTCCAAACAAGATTTGGGCAGGATGATTCCATGCTCCTTAACCAAGCAAGGTACTTTCTAGAAACACTTCTCATAAATAAGCTTGGAAATAAAACATAAACAATGACGAAATCTCAGTGACCTGGATCCAATTCACAGTATAATGTTGGAACCAAAAAAAACAAACTCACTGATTTTGAGTTCATTCTGACTCACAGCAACCCTCTTTGGGTTTCTGAGGTGGTAAATCTTTACACATAGATTGCCCAGTCTTCCTTCCGAGAAGTGGCTGGTGGGTTTGAACTGCCAGCCTTCTGGTTAGCAGCCTTAGGCATTACACTACCAGAGCTCCTTTAATGTTGAAAATGGGGAGAAATTTAATCTGTTGAGCCCTTTTACTAGATCCAGCTCTCCTGCACCCCCAACAAAGCTTCAGGGCACACTGCCAATGGTTTTGGAGGGTGAGCATTCCTAAGGGTTCCTGTAGTGCACAGGACAACAATGGAGAGTCATCCCTCCACTGGATTTATTGTTTGCTCTTTTTGTTCTGTTTGTCTTTCATTAGTGATGCCTGTTCAGAAAGAGCAGTTTTGTACCAAACAGCCCATTATCTTTTCTGGAACAACCTAAAGTTTACAGTTAGACTCTACCATTGGTACAGAGGGTGAAGAAAAGCCGACATATTTAATATGTTATCACTTTACTTCAACTATTGTCAACAGTAACACTGATATATTTGCAAATATATAATACATAGAGTGTAGCCTCACACAACTGTTGCTGATGACATGCAGTACAATCCAACTCTTTCTGGTCAGAACAACATCCTGTAAACTGCAAGACAGAGAGTGCCCCAAGAAGCCTGACTTTTGAGGAAAACCAAATAACTTAGGAGTTGATGAAACACTGCCTCCCACCAGCCCAGCCTGGGCCAATAAGAAATACACATGCTTCTTATTTCTCTCTTTCAGAGCAGATGCCAAAGAAAGAAATACTACACTGATGGGAAGGCAAAGGTGGGCAGGTTAAAGCCACACTTTTTTTTTTTTTTTAAATTAAAAAAAGGCTAAACTCTAGATTGCTGTATTTGCTCTCTGTGAAGATTAACAAAGTGCTCAGTTTGCAGATTTGCTGGTATAGTGATCTCAATGGTATGACAAAGGGGGTGGGAAAGCAGGGACATGGGCAAAACCCCCAAACACCCAGCCAGGGTTATCCAAAGCCAGAGGTGGACTTCCCCTCTCTTCCTGTAGTCCAGCCACTGAGCTCCATGTTGTATATTGAAAGTGGGGCTGTGCATCTGTGGCCTGCAGAGTCATGTTTTAGCTTCGCCCTTTCTGAAAGGGCTCTCCGCCTGGGTAGGGGCCACTGGGCAGTCCTCAGGTCCTGTGGCTTAGGAGCAAAGCACTGGTGGCTGCAGTGGTTCAAAAGGCTGAAACTATAAAGTATGGCCCATGTGTGACTCAGGCACAGAACTCGAAGGTGTCACCACAACACAGAAGCGACATGAGCACAGCTGAGAGTCATGTGATGCCCTGGCAGCTAAACTGGACCATGTGAAGGCAGCGGGGCTTCGCCTGGCAAGGGCTAGGCACTCGTCGGCCAGAGTCAGATGGGCCACAGTGATGACACAGGTGTTCTGCTAGCACATGGCTACATGGAATTACAATGATTACTGCTACCACTCAGAAACAAAACAGAAAACACACACACTGCCCTGGGTTGCTAAATGCTAAAGTTAGCCTTTGGGTTCTAGAATGGTTCCTAATGGAAACACACTCTGGGGGCTTCAGACTGTGGTGGTTGGAAACAAGATGAGTAAGTTATGGTATTGGGCAGGCAAAGATGAGGGTTGGTCATTTCCATGTTGGAGATGAACACTTCTGCTGTGTATGGGTGCCCCTCACAGAGGACTCTGAATGAGTGTGCATATAATCATATGCATACAAAACAAATATGGATCATGGAAGTTCACAGTTATCGCAGCCATTAAAGTGTCTAAGAGTCTGTGTAACCAATATTCTAAGACAACCAGTTCTTAACTAGTTGTCCCAAGTTGCTACTGTAGAATTTACTGCATTTTATCTATTTGCTTACCTGAAATAACAGAGCAGTTATAATACTGATTACTTATGATAGTATTCTGTTAATAAAATAAGGATTTATACAAAGCAATATTGGAATTTTTAAACAGTTAGATGCTATGTTACTTGGCACAGTTAGTAATGATTACGTAAAGATTTGAGCTAGTTCTGGAGGGAACTCTCCTCTTTTTATGAAAATATGGAAGTATCTGAATTTGTTCCTAGCATTTAAGTTTTTGGTCTACTCTCTCACACTCTCATCTAAGGTACTGTCTTTCTATCAGGTAAGTGGAGTCCCTTGTAAAATCTATATTGCTAATTTTGTGGACTGAAACATCTGCCTTTCACACACAAATACTACCTATACAATATATATATATATATAT